GAGGCCCAAAAGCCCTTGAGGCTCACTTTTAACGCGGCGGGGCCTCCTAGCAGTAGTAGTAGTAGTAGTAGTAAGAAGCAGTAAGTAGTAGTAGTAGTAGTAGCAGTAGTAGTAGTAGTAGCAGTAGTTGTAGGAGGTGGTAGCAGTGGCTTTAGCAACAGCAGCCGCAGTTCCTCTTTCGTAGAAGTGCTACGAGTCATAGCCTTTGACACCAGCAACAAAAGAAGCGCAGTAGCTCGGCGAAGCATGCCTTGCCTAGTCCGTTGCATGTCGATCTTTGTGTTTGCATTCTCACTGAGCAGCTACAGGCAAGCATGTAGGGAGACATGCTGTTTGAAATGCCTCGGCTACTGCGAACGGGGGATGGGAGAGGCAAGCAGAAACAAAGCTTGTGCGCTAAGATCTTCTTCATCCGATGAGAAGGGGTTCCAGGATGTTTAGGGTTTCAAAAGGTTTCAAAATCCAGCTCCGCCCCGGACATATCCTTCAGCAAGACGAACGCTCACAAGGGCCCCGGACAAAGGGCCATGTGGTACCTGCTCTGGGTTGACAACTTAAGAGAAACCTAGATCATGAAAGAGCCCAGGATGTGATGTCGTCGTCCACCACGGACAGACAGACAGGCACTCACCCTGTGTCCGAGCCCCAGCCAAGTTTTCTGCTAATACATGTCCCGTTCGTCCCCGACATCTGACACTGTTACCCTTCGTGCTGCTTTGGATGCGATTCACTACGTTTCAGTATGGGAAACCGTGCGCTCCGCCTTCCGTCCACCTCTTGCACGAACAGGCGCTGAGACATCCCCAGGTATGCGGTGCCGGCAATGAAGGTCACAAGCACGGCAATCTCAGCTCGGAAGTACACCATGACCACCAGGTCGGAGCAAACAAACTAACACTCTCAGGATTCACCCTGGGGAAGAAAACTCTCCAAGAAAGCACAGCAAAAAACAATCCCTGTAGGCCTAAGCTTTGAACACGTACAGGATACTAAGCCCAGGTGCATTGTTGTACGGCCGAGTATAGTCGCCTCGCCCCATCAAATACAAGCACCTCAGTTGCGGGAGGATTTCTGGAATGTTAAGAGAAGATTCATTTAAGTTGTCTTGCTGGCACACATAGTGGCCATGATAATGGGTTTATGACATTGCCACGCAGTTGCACTGGGAGGGTCTTCCTAAGGCCGCTCACAGCCTTGCACACCCACCTGCAAGCAGTACACCCAGCCAGCACGTACAATCAGGACCGACAAAATGACAACGCGCAGCAGTACAACGACATGATAACACACAGCGCAACGGCACCTGCAACCACAACAACCTGAAGAATGAAAGCGCGCAAGTTAAACCTGAGCGCATAGATGCAAATCTCAAACCACTTGAGGCCAAAGAAAAGCATCACTCAAACCTGTCGTTCCCATACCCTGTTTTTACAGATAGAGCCCCTAGAGTAAACACGATGACGATGCTGGTGGCGATGATGATGATGATGACAGTGGAGCTAACAATAACGACGAAGACCACATGAGCACTGATAACAGCCAACATCATCAAATAACTGTGGCAGTGAAACTCGTAACAAAATGTGCAGCCAATCATTTTAGCCCTGACACAAACGGAGAGGTGTTAGGTGCTGCTAGGCACAGGCTGCTCAAGTAGAGATACGTCGAGGCAATTCCAAAGATCGCCTGCTAGCTTTGCGCCAGCAAATTTGCGTGAGTTTCAGGCCATGGGGATGACAGCATGTTTCTTTACAGCTTTCTGGTTGTCAGTGGTAGCCGAGGATTGTGTCAACACCTCCCTATAATGCTTGTTGTCCAGGCGTCCTGCCCAGAAAAACACTATAACTATAATAGTCTTTCTCTTTCCCTGTGGGCCCTCTTGAAGGATGAAGGACACAAGAAAACAATGCAGTGAGACTGAATCTGGTTTGTGGTCGTCTCTTAAGTACGGGCAAGAACAAGTAAGGACCAGCACCCTGAGATTTCGGAGAATGTTCGGACAGCCTCAGCTTCAAGGGTGATGGCTTCCCCTCGCTTCTGTTGCCATTAGTCTACTTGTGTTCTTATACTGACTGATGCCCCTTTTTTGGGGGGGTCTATGTGTGATTTGTTTCTCAACTTGCCACTTTGCGCTGCAAACTTCTTCAGCTTTACCTGGGTCTGTCAGGTGGTTGACGATTTCGGCTAGAGCGTCACTTTGGGAGGGTTTGGTGCCCACTTCGAGGTGTCCGATTTCATGTATCGTTCCGGGCTTACGATGGCTTGGAATTGCGCTGCTGAGAGATTGGATTTCACAGAGCAGGGCTTGTGAATTGGCACAGGCACCATTGCCAAACGGAGCTGCTCCTACCGATTCTTACTGGGGTGTGGCTCAAGATCATGCATCCTAGCTTGCCGCCCACTCATTGAGACAGTACCAAAGTAGTAGTTCGATTGCAAAGATGCCTGGAAGCATGGCTCAGTTTTGGGATATCTTCCGGAAAAGTGGTGTTGGGACCATAGGACATGCTTTGGACAAGGACCCAACACGTGCTAAGCGTTGCTTCCTTCAACCCTCTCCTTAAGCCTGTTCAGCAGAATTCTGTTGATGGATGCAAGGTTTTTGAAGGGCTTTGAGGTTGGACTTAAGACCCACCCCTCTACCCCAGACATTCTTCAGCTCGTGCTTAGACAAAAGAACGCTAGCAAAGCTTCGACTGCACGCCTGGCAGAAGGGCAAGCTGGCGTTCTCTTCGCCCTCCATGTCCGAAGGTCCTTGTCAGCAACTCATGATTTGAGGGCTTAATCATGGTGCAGGCAGCTTTCGGAAAGAAGCGCTGTTGCCCACAACACAGTGGACCGCTCACCATGGAGCCCCAACTGTCAGACATTGCCCTGTCAAGGGTGCATGTGCAGAATCGTGCCTCAAAACAATTAGAATCCAATATGGGCCTGACTTCTCAAGTGTTGGCATGCGCCCTGTTGCCCAAGTTGCAGTGGTAGTGGTATTGCTATGCCTTGGCGTGATGGACCTTGAAGTCGGTTCAGCAGCTGTGCCAGAAACAAGTGTTGTCTGACGGTTGATTGATGCCACGTGAGTTTCTCATTTGCAGGCCGTGTCTGGACTTCATTCAAAACTGCGTTGGTCGGTTCTTCTGTCCCCAAACTTCCTGGCAGATAAGACTGCCGGGTAAGAATAGTTACTCGGGCATTTCTTGCTTTCTCATAATAATGCTGCTGCTGCTGGTCGAGATATCACCATCTCGTAGGCTATTAGCAGGGGGGGACCCAGGGGCACGTCACCTACCATCGCAGAGCGAAGAAGGTCAGATCGTCATACGCAGCATGAAATGGTGCGGTAGCTGTCGGGTGAATAGTTGGAAGCGCATAGAAAGCGTTGGGTGGCTGCAACAAGACTCGCACAACCCCCTGCCCCATTGCGTCCTTGCGGAGGATGCTACGGGCGGGACGGCAGCGCGTGGCTTGGGCCAAAGTGGCGCTTGGCAAGGACAGCGTGGTATGAGGTGATAGATAGGGCTTCATAGCAAACAGGCACAGCGCTGCAGCTAGGAGTATGGCAGGGCCATTGATGAGGGGGCCTCTTGAAAAAGCCCGAAAGCAACCCTCAGGTGCCAGGGCATCATAAAGATCTTTCTATACAATATTTTCACAGAACAACACCGTCCCCGCCACATTTCCACTCTGGGGCCAAGCACGACTTCTGTCC